TGAAGTAGAAGGAAATATTAGTGTTAATAAAATTAATAGTATTTTATAAGGGGATAGGAGCAGATATGAAGGCACAGTGCTTAACTAGATTCTCTTTATTAGTCAAATATATAGACAGAATGACACTACTATTCCCAGCTGGTATTTGTTTTTTATTAGGAACATATGTAAATCTGTTTCATATATATGGCAGAAAAGGGACTAGGGATCTTCATTTTGGATTAGACCAAGTTTAAGTTGCTGGCCAGTATGGATCCAAAGCCAACGTACATTGAAGCATTTCTCTACACAACCCATACCCAGAGATTGCTTTACTTTATCCTTTTTCACCCAGTCATCAACATTAACCTGCATTAACCTTACTAGCCAGCCTGCTGGGAAACCAAGATCACTGCCTCTGAGGTGTTACAGTATTGTCTGTGTTAGCTAACAGCGGTCTGGCAGGTGTGGAGTTGTGTTAGTGCTGAGCTTGGCTTCAACTTTTATACATAATGATGTTAATGTGTTACTTTTAAATGCTTCTACTTTATGGCTGACATGTTGCTACATCTCTGCTTCTACTTTGTCAAAGCTGCACTTTTGTGAAAATTTTCTCATCAAGAAAATTTCTGTTTTCTGAGGCACTAATTACAATCCATGTGTGACACAAGTACATCAATACTGAGGTTAAGATGAAGGGTATGCTTAGAAAGGCTTTTTCTAACCACTTCATGAGCAAAGAGAATGTTATATTAATTCCCCCCCAATCTTGTGAGTTTTTTTAATGCATTAATGTGCTCACGTTATTCCCACTAATCAGTAAGGTTGGTTTTAAATAGGTTTTCCTTTTCCATCAGAACAAAACCTCTCATGTATTAGATCTCTCAGCAGTAGTTTGACTGACAGATATAAATGAGTAACAGTTTTTTTCTCTTAAGTATTAGAATGATGAAAAGGAAAACTCTGCTTGTTGCCATATTAATTTTAAAATAGTCAATTATATTGGGACATGGGTGAATTTCCTAAATCTGTCTTGCATGCTTTAACAATATTAGAAAGCTTTTTGAGCTTGAATCACCTCTGTAGCACTTTTTGTGAGGGTAGTCTGGTGGAAAGCTTGTGTGTACCTCCTTCTTGCAAGTTGTTTTCTTATTTCACTTGAATGTTCAGTATTTCTCAGACCACTGCCACTTTCATGAAGCAGCTCACTTTGGGAGCTGCTTATAAGTATATGAAATGATGTAGTATCACAGATTAAACCCATTCTCTGACATAAAGCAGAGCAATGCATTTTTACCTGTGTTTTGTGATTCATGTATATTAAATATGTACTGACAGATGTTTCAAGTACTGAATTTTAGACAATGCTGTTTGTACCAATTTGATAATCAAACAGAAAATGTGCAAATGAACTGACTTAATGCCTTTTTGGACTGGATCAGATTGTTCAAGTTATGGAAGGTTGCCAGACTCTCTGAGTGTATGGAACACTGAGTTGGTCACATGGGTATTAGTCTACCTAAACCTCTACCACTGCTCTGTTAACTCTCCTGCTTCCCATGCTCATTAGGAACCTCTGTCATGTCTAAGTTACCTATAGATAGTGTCATAATGTGCTGTTCCATTGCTGTAGTTTCCAGGAAATTAGTCATGACCTGTATCCACCTTTCTGATCATGGTGACCAGCAAGTACCACTACGGGTTATATTACACTTACGGTGGTCTACAAACACAACCTGGTTTTGTGCAAAGATAGTAGCTTGCTGAGAAAGGAAATATATGGAACTTACTTTCATAGACAGAAAAATTTATTGATCAAATGCTTGAAGTGCTTGTAAAGCCTTAAAAAACTTAAACTGGAAAATATACTCACCCAAAATATAAATTTTTGCCCCCAAACCAAAAAATATTTGAAATGAAACAATTTTAAATAGTGTTTCATAGAATCACAGAATAGTTTGATTTGGAAGTGACCTTTAAGTCCTATCTAGTCCCATCTAGTGTCCAAACTCCCTGCAATTAACAGGGACATCTTCAACTAGACCAGGTTGTTCAGAGCCCTGTCCAACTTGACCTTTAACGTTTCGAGGGATGGATCATCTACCACCTCTCTGGGCAACCTGTTCCAGTGTTTCACCATCCTCATTACAAAAAATGTCTTCCTTACATCTAGACTAAATCTTACCCTCTTTTAGTTCACAAATGTTACATTTTGTCCTATTGCTACAGGTCCTACTAAAAAGCCTGTCCTCATCCTTCTTCTAGGCCTCCTTTAAGTACTGAAAGGCCACAATGTCTCCCCAGAGCCTTCTCTTCTCCATGCTGAACAATCTCAGCTCTGTCAGCCTTTTTTCAGAGAAGAAGTTTTCCAAGCCCTCTGATCATTTGCGTGGCCCTCCTCTGGACCCACTCCAACAGGTTGATGTCCTTCCTGTGCTGGGGACCCAGAGCTAGACGTAGTACTCCAGGTGGGGTCTCACCAGAGCAGACTACAGGGAGAGAATCATCTCCCTTGACCTGCTAGGCACGCTGCTTTTGATGCAGTCCAGGATACGGCTGGCTTTCTAGGCTGTGAGTGCACAGTGCTGGCTCATCTACAGCAGTACTCCCAAGTCCCTCTCTGCAGAGCTGCTCTAAATCCTCTCATCCCCCAGACTGTATTGATACAGCGAGTTGCCCCAACCCTGGGGCAGCACCTCACACTTGGCCTTGTTTAACCTCATGAGGTTCCCATGGGCCCACTTCTAAGCATATCCAGGTTCCTCTGGATGGCATCCCATCCCTTGCGCGTGTCAACTGCACCACTCGGTGTCATCTGCATATTTGCTGAGGGTGCACTGGTTGCCACCATGTCATTGAGGAAGACTTTAAACAGTACTTGCCCCTGGGGGACACCAATTGTTACTGATCTCCATTCAGACACTGAGCTGTTGACCAATGTTTTCTGGACACAGCTATCCAGCCAATTCCTTATCCATCAAACAGCTCACCCATCAAATCTATCTTTCTCCAATTTAGAGAGATGGATTTTGTGGGAGACCATGTCAAAGGCCTTACAGAAGTCCTGATAGATGACAGCCGTAGCCCTTCCCTTGTCCACTGATAGAAGGCCATTAGGTCAGTCATGATTTGCCCTTGGTGAAGCTCTGCTGGCTGTCTCAAATCACCTCCCTGTTCTCCTTCCCAGGCACAGAGGTAAGTCTGACATGTGAGTAGTTAGCAGGGTCCTCCTTACTACTCTTTTTAAAATGAGTGCAATAATTTCCCATTTCCTGTCACCTGGGACTTCACCTGACTGGCATGAATTTTCAAATTTCATGAATAGGGGCTTGGCAACTACATCAGCCAATTCCCTCAGAACTCTGGGATGCATCCTGTCAGGTGCCACAGACTTAGGTACGTTCAGGTTCCTCAGGTGGTCACGTACCCAATCTTCTCTTAGAGTGGGAGGGACTTTGCTCCCCTACTCCCTGCCTTGAGAGGTGTGGGAAGAGAGATTGTCAGTGAAGATTGAGGCAAACCAATTGTTAAGTACCTCAGCCTTCTCCTAGTTTGTTATTACCAGTTTGCCAGTTGTGTTATCAGAGGAGTATACTTTCTTTGACCTCCCTTTTCTGGCTGATATAAATTTAGAAGCCCTTATTCTCTCCCTTGCCAACTTCAGTTCCATTCATGCCTGGGCCTTTTTGACCCTATCTCTACACAACCAGGCAGAATTCCTATTACTGTATTCAAATAAAATATGACAATAGTGGAGTAGTTTGTCTTGGAACTTTTGGACCACTAGTACAAATATAGTAGGCAAGCAGATAATGAGGTCCAAATGTACTAGATAAGCATATAAAAAGTTGTGTATATGGCTTAGTGACTAGCCTATTACATTTTTAAAGGCCATAAAACTATTCTTACAGAAGTTTCAAGCAATTTGTACATTTTTCTTGTCATACAGGGATCAGTTATACGTTGCCATTTTTGGGATTTACAAAATTGCACAAATATTGTAATACCTACATCATCATCATCATTTGATATATATGAACTGGAGTTGAAAAACAGAGGAAAATACTTAATACCTTGACAAGTTCTATCTATTTCATCTTACTTGTTTTTTGCAACTCATCTATTTGAAGGCAAAATTAAAATGATACAAACCAAAAGTCTGCAAAAATTAAAAGCTTCTTCAGCATGACACAGTCTAATAAAGATGTCCCTTCCCTGGTAATTTAAAGCATATTCATGGTTTTTCTTTTCCTTTTGATAAAATATTCCGTAACGAGTTTACTTAAAAAGAAAAAAAAATTGAATCTTTGAAGTGTGGCATGAATTTTTCACAGCAAAACAGATGTGGAATAATCTGGAAAATCAGGGTCGGCACAGCTTGAAAAAAAGTCTCCATCCCTCTGGTTGCCCAGCAAAAGACATGAGAAGATACTGTAAGGGAGGTATCCCTCGTTGCTTCCCCTGGAAGGAAGTGCCAAGTTGAAAGAAAGCAACATGCTCTCTCCTTTTGCGATAGCTGGGTGACAGAGGTTTTTCTCCTGGCAAAGGGCAAAATGGAGGGACAATGGAGTTAGCTCTGTGCTAACTCTGGGAAATCTTCCCCGTTGAAATCAGCATGTGAATCCCCAGCATAGCATCTTTTGTGTAAGAAAGCGGAATACAGATCATGTTATATTTTTAAGCGGAAGCCTGAGTGCTTTTCTCTCATGTATATGTGCTGCCTTGATCTTCCTGTTCCCGCTGGATAGTGGTCTCTATTTAGTTGAGTTAGCTTTGTTATAAACATGGGGGTTTAAGAGCTCTCTGACTAATGATCTCACAATTAGGTACTGCAGTGTTACGATATAGCTCCAAAATAGAAAGCAGAGGAACAGCATGTGACTGTCCACTCTGCCTTTCCAGCAAGGTTTCTGCTAGCAGCAAACAACAGCTGCAGACAAAAATAGAAGGTGATAAGCAACTAGAATCTTTAGTTAAATATAGAAGTCATTCTCCATGACAGTAAGGAGTCCAGAGCAACAATGAAGTCTCTCCGATTCCTTAGTGCCGAAGCATTCGTGTCAAATGCAGAGTTTGCCAGGAAGAGTCTCAGCGCTGTTGCCCATAATCTTTTTCCTCTTCTTTTTAAAGCCAGCTATTTACTGGAGCAAGGGGAAGTGATTCATGACTTGGTAGAGAACTGGCCACTTGTTGACTTTAACATTGGAAAACTTTTGGGAGCTACTGTGGACTACCAGGAAGACTTGAGCCATAGAACATGCTCAGTGTGCTTGGAAAGCTGTCTAACAGGGCTGAGAGACTATGTGCTGAATAATTTTTCTCCCTACAGGAAAAGGTTGAAAGTGGTTGACCTGACAGGTATAAAAGATGTTGAAGTTCAGTTTTGTGAGTGCAAGAAGACAATGGGCAGGTGGGCCAGGACGCAGCTGCTCTCCAAGCTTTGTTTAGAACTGGTGGTTTACCTGCAACAAGCACAGTGCAATCCAGGTACCTTTGAAATCAGTATTGATGTGCTAATTGACTTGTTTGTTACAGAGCGGAACTATGAGCTGGTCGTGGAGGCCCTGTTGAAGAAATGCTGTTGTCCACTGAAGATCTGCTGTGTGGCATTCAGATCTGACAACCTGACTTTGCAGAAATTCTTCTACATCATAAAACTCGCTGATCCCTCGTTATTGCGCAAACTGGAAATAGTTCATAATGTTCGCTTGGAAATGGAACACTTGGAAATACTCTTCAACAGTATCCACTTCCCTCTATTGATGTCCTTGACCTTGCCAGCACGAACATTTAATGTGCAGAGGTTCACAGCTACAGATGAACAGATGCTTACTAATATTGGAGAAAAGATGGGTGAAATGACGCAGCTCACTGAGCTGTGTATGTCATTTTCTATACTCACAGGAAGAATACAGAAACTGCTCAGGTAATTTGGTCATCCTGCTTTCAGTCAGACTGTAAAGAACAGCACTTTGTGCCACCAGCAAGCTGAGAATCTCTGAGAATAACGGAAGTGAGTGTATTTTGGAGGGTGTGTGGGAAAGGGCAGCAGGAAGCAGGAAAGGTTATCTGTTGGGGAGAATTGGCAGCCAATATATACCTAATGCACTTCGAAGAACAGACTGTTTTTATTAGTCTTCCAGAACCTATCAGGTGAGAATATGCTTTTGGCTACCACATAAAAGAGTGGTACTCAGACAATTTTTATATTAGCTTATGTATTAAGCAGCTTGCATTGGCTTTGGTGCAAGACCTGAGTCATATACCAAATATTTTTTAGAGTCTCTAGTGAATTTTTGTCCTCTAAAAAAGATGCAGTAAATGTACTAGGATTCCACAGATATTGTATTTTTAGGTGGGCAGGGGAATAGTAGACTTTGATTTGAGACTTTGATTTCAGTTGTTTGTCGTGTCTCTTGATGTCAAGGCAAGAGAGATCTGATGCTTTTCTGTACTACAAATTAAGCTGATACATAAATATTCATTATGAATTCCTGTGAAAAACTGGCAATTCTCAAAAAGATAACAAACTGCCAGTGAGCAGTGTTCATACTGGAACAGAAAATAAGTTAACTGCATGCTTTTCAGAGCATGTAAAAAAAAAAGGCAGACAAAAGTTTCATCCAGACAAATCACCTTAGTCTAAAATTTCTCCCATACAAGGAGTAATTTTATTTAAAATTTATGAGTGGCATACTGCTTATATCAATAGAAATAAATTGCAAGTTTCTAACTTTGATCCAGCTGAGCTCTGTAACAGAAGTCTCACTAAGATTTAGTATGTATGAAAGGGATCTCTTGATTTTCATTTATCAGAACTATTTTATATTCAACTAAAATATCTGAGTATAATCTCACACTCCTTCCAACCTTGTCAGAAGGTCTCTTTGCAACTGCAGAACACTACAAAGTGTAAACCTTTCAGGCATTTAAAAACAGCAACCCTCCCCCAGAAACAAAAGCAGATGTTTTGTTACAATACTGATTGGCTTTCATCTTGGAATTAATCCTTCCTTCATAGAAATGATCTAAATCTCTGGAATTATGACATCTTCTACAAGAAGCAGCCACCAATGCCTTTATGGTAGTAGTGATCTGCTATTAATTCAGCAAGTCATAGACACTTGACAACATAAAACTGGTTACAAAATAGATACATAGAAAGTTTAATCCCCATTAAAATAGCACAACAGAGTCACATGAAGAAGAAGCTAATTCATGAAGCTGATTCCAGAAGGAAAATATACTTGTTATTTTTGGCACATACTTCTGTTTCTCAAGAGAGGTAAGAAAAAATAATGAATGTGGTAGATGGCTACACTCATAATGTGTATAGCCGCATGTAATTTTGTAAATGTAGCTTTTCAATGTTTTATGCAATAAAACTGTTTTCTCTTTAATTCTGCAGCCCACTAAAAACTCCACTGAAGATGCTGGATGTTTCTAACTGCTCACTGAACCATGCCGATATGGCCTATTTAGCCAATAGCTTCCATGCTAATCACTTAGAAGCCCTGGACCTGAGCGGTCATGATATACCTGAACTTTACCCATCAACATTCTTTAAGCTGCTCAGCCATTCCTCTTCAGTGCTCAGGAGTCTTACCCTGGAGGACTGTAACATCCAAGATACTCATGTCAACATGTTGATTTTAGGTTTAAGCCCTTGCCAGAAATTACATGAGTTTAAGTTTGTGGGAAACCCACTGTCATCCCAAGCACTTAAACACCTTTTCACATTTCTCTGTGAATTGCCAATGCTGAAAAATGTGGAGTTCCCAGTTCCAAGGGACTGCTACCCTATTGGCATCACCTACCCCATTGATGATGCCAGTGTTTGCAGATTTGATCACCAAAAATATGAAAGTGTAGCAGAGGAGCTTAACCTCATTTTACTCCAAGCAAATAGGGAGGATGTGAAGGCTTCAACGCCACTCTTTGGAAGTTATGACGCAGCTGTTCAGGAGACGAACAACGAACTGGGAGCTTACTTGATCAAGTCCTTCAAAGAGACTTTAGAAAAGTTCACTACTTCTTTTAACAAAATGAGTTGAAGTTGTAACATAGTGGTGATGATAATACTCTGTCAAATCAGAAGTTAATTTAGTCTTTCCTAGAACTGCACCTTCAATCATCAGTTGTGAATTTTCTTTAATTTTTCAGCTGAATTTATTATTGTTTGAATAGCCTCTGATCACCTGAGGTATTGTAACTCATGATATATTTATTGCATGCACCTTACAAAGCACTACATGCTCACAAGAGGGAAGGACACTTAATAGCTTATTATTTTATACAAAAGAACTTTGTTTCTCAGTATAGCAATAAGTATTTAAGCTTGACTGATTTCTTACACAGGTTCCTCTGGATTTGGCAGTGAGGCTTGCAGCCCTGCAGAAAAGACAGGAATGTCCTTTCTCAAGTCCAGCAGGATGTCCCAGAGGTTGTGCACATATCCTCACCTGTGGCTCCCAAAATTAATTTTTTTTTGCCCTGGGCCTTCTGAATTCACCAATCTGTGTTTTATCCAGTACACTCCCAATAGCGGGGACATGTCCCTGTGCCTCTCTTTCTTGGGCAGAGGCAAGAACAATAAACACAATTTGTCTAATATATTGTGCTGGTAAGGAGTAAAATTCCTTTCCAAGTAGGTAGCAAACCAAGCAGTTGGCTGACAGGAGAGGATCCCACCCCACCTACCCCAGAAATATAAAGCAGCCTATGAGGACTCTCATGGTGCTCTTGCAATGTGTATTTTAGAATGGTAGACCAGGACAGTGCTGCACAGCCACGCTTGTCATGTTAGCTGGTAAGTGCCTCAAGCCACTCCCTTCATGGAATCAGCTTCTTGGCTGGTAGAATGTACCCTGCTGCTTTCAGGTGCTTTAAAGAAAGTCTAGGACAGCGGTAATGCTGAAAAAAGAAGAGTGTTGAAAACATACGTAAAAAAAAAAGAATCTAATGTCAGTTTAAAAAATGTGGAAAAGGGACAAGGCTGGTTGCTCGGTAACTAGAAGTTCATCTGTGTACAACACTGCCTTCTTCTGTCAGGACTGTGTGTTCTGCTACAGACTTGCAACCAGTGTCAGGAAGAATCACATTTATTTGTCAAGCTCCAGTGTATAAGAGTGACAGAGTAAACAGAATCCCATACTTCACATATGCTGTGTTGGAGCATAGGTGAAGGGGTTAACAGGATGTCGGGATACAGCAGTAGGGCCAAAAACACACATCTGAAGAGTACTATAATGGGGGATGAATGGCAAAGAACTGTCATAGTCTACTCAGCTTCTCACCAGTAAAACTAGAGACTTGGTTAGCTTCTAGGTAATCAAAAAAAAGAAAAAAAAAAAGCTCAGGTTAATACCCACTACTCTGCCATTAAATACAATTTACCAGTTCATGAAAACTTGATCAAACAGCACTGAAAGTGAATGTTGTAGCAGTAGTTGAGGTGTCATTGTAGTATTAAAGATCATTATTAAGATAAGAAGGACAATTTATTTGAAATAATACTGGACTTCATCATCTGAGGGTAAGGAAAATTTCTTCATTTAGGCAGTGCTGGTTTGTCAAGCTTTCTGTTTATCCACAATAAGAATATGCAAGCAACCTAATTTACAAAAAAAGAAACCCAAACCAAACCAAAACAAAATAAAAAATTAATGGACTGAGTACCAAGCCAAGCTTGAAGGTTCCAGAGTGCATTTAAATGATTTTTTTGATGTTTTCTTATGTTTGTCCTTCTAACATGTTTTATTGATTAAACATATGATGGTAAAATTGAAAGTGAATGGACATGACCTGTTTATGTTTACAGAGGACTAAAAAAAAAACTAAAATAGTAATCTAAGTTGTCAAGCAGCTGTGATTCAGAAAATGCCAGAGTTGGGTTCCACATGGCCTTGCGTATTTTTGGACAGAATTCCACATGCTCCTTTGTTCTTGCCTCTACACTACCTTTTCCTCCCTCTGACCTTGCCATTCTTTTCATCCTAGAGTTGACCCATGACTTCTCAGCCAGACCTAAGTAATTTGAATTTTGCTATGCAAATGATCTACTCCTTTGGGATGAGTAGTGGCACTTCCTCTTGCTGGGAGAGGACACTCTTTGTATTGTAGCTGCAAATGTGTAGTGATTCCTCCAACTCCACCCTAACAGGTTGTACCTGGAGGTGAAGGTTGGCCATTTTGGAACGTACTGTGTTACAACAGCCATTCCCTGCCTTTTTCAGTATACACAAAACAGACAGCTCTTATTTCAGAATATTTAGATACCTTACAACGTCTGCTGTCTATGCAGCTCTCCCTCTGGTTTCTCCTTGCTTAAGGCCAGTCATTTTATTTTATTTCCTCCTTTTTCTGCACCCCACAAACTCTTGCCCATCTTCCATTTTCCGTCTCCCATCTATATGCAGTGTCCTGGACCAGGAGAAGTATGTAGAGACCATAGCTTTTGTTTTAGTGCCAAGTTAGAGGATCACCACTATATCTATTTCAAATATTCCCTTTGAGCCTGCAGTATGGAGTGCACTGCATTACAGAAGTGGTGTCCATGCAACACTTCATGCAGCGTAGCAGTGAATGACTAACAAGCAGTTGGAGCACATGAATCCACGTGCAGAAAGGTTTTGGATCCTCTTCCTGGGAAATCAGCTGTTCTGCAGAAACATGCACACGTTCAAAGTTTTGTGATCTTCTAAAATGCATTTTGCTGGGATTGAAGCAGAAGTCTTATTGTCTACATTTGCATGTTAGAATTTTATTGCAAGAAATATAGTATATAGAATGTATAACCTATGTACCAGTACTTTGAATACTGTTGAATCCAAAAGGCCAAACTGCAGTGAAACACTGCTAATACATGAGAACTATTTTGTTGACACCAAACTCTATTTCCCTTAGAAATTCTTAAGATAAATGCCACATTTTGGGCAAGGAGGGATTTGTACACTTTTGGAATGGAATCAGGTATTCTTTAAGTCACAAAGTTGCCAACTCTAGAGCTAACTTCAGTGCTTTAGCTCTTAGATATCCCATCTTTGTCTCTTTGGTTTCTTTCTTAATTATGGTTGTAATTGTTGGTTTTAAATGCAGGTCAAACTAGCATTTTGGTGTTGGCTTGACTTCCTCCAACAAGGATTTGTGCCATCTCTCAGAAGAGTTCCTGCATGTCTTTTGCCCTAGCAATTCTGATTATGGTTTGGGCCTACTCTTTCTTCCTTTTTCCAATGTGTAGAACTGTGGGACTTGGAATTCTGCTATTAGAGAAGAAGGACTAATGCTACAATGACCTAAGCATATAAAGTTACCTTCTACTTTGCAAATGCAGACAGATACTGACAGAATCCTGCCTTGCGTCCCCTGTCTTCCTGCATGTGACTACTGTCAGCTTCACTGGGTTCAGAACTGAGTGGATTCAAGTCCATTTGTCCTGTCTGTCCAGAAAACTGTCTAAAGCCTTAACTACATACCACCTTGGGGTAGACAGTCTTCTAGGCTCCAGTTAAGTCTGCCCAGCAGGACAGGAGTTGCCACAACATCAAAACCACACAGATGTCAATGGAGTGGAGATGTCTGTATTGTGAACAAAGGTGTATTCAATACCCTGCTACAACCTCTGCTCATGGTGTTCCTTTAAGTGTCTGAAAATGAATACTTGAAATCCCTTGAGGTTTATTTGCAAAAGACTCAGAAGAGATGCATGTAGAAAAAATACATTAAAAAAACCAGGATAAAACACACACCATTCTCACCATATTCCAGCAAATGTTCTAAACACAAAATGCAATAGTGGGTATCATAAAGAAGCTAAAGGCTGACTTTTATGTTTGAATAAAAAGAACTGCTAAATTTGTATTTATTCACCATACTTAATTTGATCCACATTTTATTCACCAAATTGGTTTTTTTTATTTATTAGCATGTTTTCATTTCCTTAATTGAGACATACATTATTCAGCAGCAGTTGCTTCTAAATCTTTCTCTGTTGCAGGATAAGAATTGCCAGAAGAGCTTTCTGCTGTTGCAATTACTAAGCTCCCCTATTCAGTAACTGTGCCTAGACTGACTTCAGTTAAATACCTAGTACATTGGATATAATTATTCTACTTTGACAAACTTTATGAAACTGAAGAACAGGTAAGAAATCTCTATATACTGCACCAGTTATTTTCTTGATTTGGTCTACCAATTTGTGACCACAGAATTTGAAATTGAAGGACAGACCTTTGCTACTTCTGATCTATTCATAATTTAAGTCATATTATGTTTTGGTCACACAAAGAGCAGTTGAAACATGCAGCGGGAAAAAAAGATGACAGTCAGATTTTTACTGTATGATAATAATTTATAATGGAAATACAAAACCTCTTTCAATGAAAGCGTGGCCAAATGTCCCGATCTGCCTCTGTTTAATCCCAAAAGCCACAATTGTAAGCATTATTTTCTAATTCTTTTTTTTTAATAGTCTTATACCTAGACAAAGCAGCTTTAGTTTTGAAGAAAACAAACACTTCCTATTGAATTAGTCCAGAAAATTTTGCAAAGTGATTATATAGAGCTTTTAATGGATAAAGGTCTAGTTACAAAGGCCTTGGCAGATGTTACTTTTGTCTTTCTGCAGTAGAGGAACATAATCAGTGTTATGGAAATATTTTCCACCCCTGGAGATGGACTTATTAACCTTGAGCAGCTTAACTTTGAACTAACAAAACCTCTGTCAATTTTTATGGGCTACATATGTGCTATGCCTGAGCTTAGCACCTTACTTCTAATATATACTCAATTACACACAGGAAATGAGTCTGAACCTGTAGTATCTCCCCAGAGAAAGCTGTTAGTGGCTGCCACTTTTAATGTAAAATGACAAAGAAAAATAATATTGACGGGTTTTTTAAGTTTTTCAACAATTTCACAGCATTCATTTCAGAAAAAGCCACAGAAATTGTTGCATGAAATGAGCAATAAAAAGCTCAATGCAGGTGGATGCACCATTCCATGCAGATCCGTGACGTTACTGACAAAACCACACCAAATGTTTCGACTCCTTATGGTAACAGAAACAACTTTCAAACACGCTCTAAATGTGAACTCAAGTATTTTTTAATCTTTTGCTGGCTTCCTGTCAGCCACGGGAGTCCTGGTTTGCAGTTCGCAATGCAAACAACAAAAATTGGATCAATTTGCTGCTGGGGAAGGTGAGGAGCACGGGCTGGGGCAGGGGAAAAAGGGGAATAAGAGCTCAAAGGAAAGACATTGAGGAGTTCACAGCAGGAGAAAGCCAGCCCAACAACGTGTCCCACATCATTTTGTGTTTATCTGCAGCCAGCAACATACCGTGACTAAACGTGGGGTTTTTATCCTGCACAGGGAACAGCAAACAGATCTTTCATGCCAAAAACCTCTGTGGGAAACAGGTAACCCAATTTTGCAAGAATTTGCCCAGCTGCAGCTGGAAAGGGAGAAAAAAAGGCCTGCACAAGGGTTCTGCTCACACAGACACACCTGCAGGAGCATTGTGGCTTTGAGGATTTTGGAATATTTCAGCTATGAAACAGCAATACTGAAGATAAATCCATACTGTAACAGAGACCCAAACTGCATCCCAACTCCATGCTACATCCAAAACCCAACAAATTCTGAGTTGTGGTCTCTGCTTCTTTGCTAAAAGCGTAAAACTGGATAGATATGTAAATCCATGAGAAGCCGGGTGTCATCAGCTACTGTCTGCATCATGGTTCCCTCTTCCCATAAAAAGCCTAAAAAGCTAAACCCATAAAAATGTTACATCTTCCTTGTAGGAATGGGGAATATGGAGTAAATTAGAGACAAGGTGATTCTGAGACCAATCAGATCTAACCTGTGTCTGGCAGATGATATCAAGAAAATGCAACGAAATAACCTTCAATAATAATAATAATAATAATAATAATAATAAATGATACAATGCAGACAGCCTGCAGACGCTTAGTGAACCAGGGCATTTGCCTTGACACTGCAGCAGTGTCTCCAAAAAGGGGGTTTTGCATGCGACTCAGTCACTTTGGGCCACAAACAGGTGAAGGGAAAATTTGCTTTACTTAGTTATCAAACGGGTAAAGATGCCATCTCACCCACAGAAAACTGAGGAAAATGGTCCTTGGGCTCTGTATCAGAATAGAAGTGTTAATTCCCTGATTACTCAGGGAAATTAACTTTCTGCAAAAGCAAAGAGGAACCAGGGAAGAGCCATGTTTGAGGGCTGCTCATGCTGGGACAGGTGAGCAGTGCTGGTCTGACAACTCTGGACAACACAGCCCTCCAGTTTTTACCAGTCAGGTACAGAGTGGCCAAAACCAGC